GAGAGAGAGAGAGAGAGAGAGAGAGAGAGAGAGAGAGAGAGAGAGAGAGAGAGAGAGAGAGAGAAGAGTTGCTCACGTATCCATGATTTTAGTCATCATTCAACTAACCGGCCCAAGGCAATTCACAATGATTTTAGACTGTTCGTCTGATTGTATATGGATTCGAACTGAGGTCTGTGTATTTCAACAGTCCATGGGTGTACCGACTGAGCTATAAGCCCGTCGGTGTTGCTCACTGACCATGAGATATCATCATTCAACTGACCGGCCACAGGCAATTCAAGCCCATGGGTATACACAATGGTTTTAGTCTGCTCATGAGATGGACACCAAAAAGAAACAGGTGAAGGGCCTTGAGATATCATCATTCAACTGACCGCCCCCAGGCAATTCACAATGATTTTAGGCTGTTGATCTGATTGTATGTGGATTCGAACTTGAGTCTGTATTTCAACAGTCCATGGGTGTACCAACTGAGCTAGGCCCGTCGGTTCTTCATTCCTAGCGTACATTTTCATTCTCAACCTAACTAGCGAACGCGCAACTTTATTCCTAACCTACCCTTCAAAGTCTCGGTCGTGTTTAACTTCGTTTGCAAACGACCCCGAGAACTGTTGCCGTGATTCCCAATCTACCCCTCAAACGCTTCGCTTGATTGCCAGCCCACCCTTCAAATTCTCTGTTGTATTTGACATCATTACTAAGTTATACTAACCCACTGTGAAAAATCTTGATTTCATTGCCAGCCTACCCTTCAAACTCTTGGGTTAATTTGCAGCCTACCCTTCAGATTCCTGGTTGTATTTGCCTTCATCTCCAGCCTACCCAGCAAACTCTTGGCTCTATTACCATAGAAAGGACTCGCTCGCTGATGCAGTATGGCCCCGACACCGTGTCCTATTATCTTTTGTACCTTAGGGCCGAAGTAGAACTTTCCTGTAGGCACTGTACAGAACAAAATAGAGATCTGATAGGATAAGTCCGGAGGAAAAGTAGAGGGTCCTAGGACTCCATGGGTAGGGAGTCGCGACATGTCCAGTCCGTGTCGCATTTTAGCTGAGTCCCAGACACGACAGACCTGATCTCTGTCTGTCGCGGCAGGGCCTGGCGAAGAGTCCAGAATCACGTGGGAGGCCGAGGCAGAGGCACAAAAGGGAGTCCAGTGTCAGGACCCTCCTCTTCTTTGATTCTGGCAGATACGGAACTGCTGCTGCTTTGCTTGGGTGCCAAGATCTTGGAATGTGAAAAGTGCGGGCGAGAGTAGTAGTGGACGGCACTGGGAGCCATAGCGGGGAGCTTACGAGAGAGAGAGAGAGAGAGAGAGAGAGAGAGAGAGAGAGAGAGAGAGAGAGAGAGAGAGAGAGAGAGAGAGAGAGAGAGAGAGAGAGAGA